CGTAACATCGAAAAGACCAACGACGCAATGCCGCAAACCGGCTGTTTCTGGTAAAACTAAACCAAGATTTTATATATTTATTGAATATCAATTTCATATATTATTTATACCTTTGATCGTGACAATAAACCACTCAAGCGGAATGATTAATGAAATATGCTTCATTTCACAAAGTCGAACAGGAAAAAAAAGACAAGAAGTCCCAATCTCTCGCTTCCTCCATGTGAGATATTGAAATACGGAAGGAGTGCGGCAGACTACAAGGATGCTTGACCAAAGTACTATCTATTCGTTTCTTCCTTCTAGTAGCCATTTTTCAATGTTTTACATAGTGGGCTTAAGATTCAGCAGCGAAACAAAAGAATATAACCAGCAGGCGAAAGACAAAGCATGTTTAGAACTTATACGAGTATCATGCCCAATATACATTTTCATATTCCATAACTAGCAACAGGAACGGACGAAATATATTCGTTTTAAAGAAACAGATTTCGGTAATTATTCGTCTATGATAGCATATCTAGCGTAAGAGCAGAGCAACATGACATCAAGACATGAAGACATCACCGTAGGAACAATCGAGAACTAAGTAAATGTCGGATTCACAGGTTTAGGTCCGGTCAGCTTTTAACTGCGGACCATCAGCGCGGAACGTTTTTTCTGCAGAAGTAAGGAATGACGAGGAAAACAGCGAAGGTCTAAGGATATTAACGTCCAACCAATGAGAAAATCCGACATTTGGTGACATGCATAGCTCCAAAATTGCTGCCATCATCATCCGATCGCTTTTGAAACGCTTTATTTACGATAAAAGGGACATGACAAAGGAACACGCAGAGAGGTCATTTTCACTCAAGCGATGACCAGCAATCCATTAAAAATTGTCTGTCACTAACATGGAAACTACCTTTTAAATAAAATGTTCAAGAAACAACCGCATGATGTGAAAAATTTATCAAATCAAACAAAACACCATAACATTGCAGCAATCCATGTATACTATTGTGCAAATTTTTCGACGAATGTCACTCACGTACTACTACCATCTATCATTATTTTATGCTTCTTTATAATGGATGTGTACTTAAAACACAACAAGGAAATACATATTCGGAAATCTAAGGGTCCAACTGATATTGATCACTTTCATTAACATAATTAAAAATTATTTAAATTCACTAAACGCTAAAAGTCCTCGTCGTAAAGTCCTTTTTTATCTTTGCGATTGTAAGATTGAAATTCGAAATGACAAAAGCATATAATTGTAGAAAGTTTCACAGGTTGATTTTTTATTGTTACATAATGATCAACGGTTTACAGAAATAATTCTATGAGCTGATAGCAAATATTTCTGCGTAGGCGAATTAACCTCGTTTTCTTGTGCAGTATGATATGTCATTTATTAGCCGAATAATGCTGTTGGACGACCTATAGAGCTGCTGCGAGTGCAACTTAATTTAAGATTTGTATGTAGATTCGGTGCAAAACTGCTAATTGAATTTCATTAAAGGAAAAATATGTAAATATATATTCATATGACACTCTGGTCGACGTTCTTGACATAGTATCCAAAATTTTAATATATCGGAAGTAAACATCAACTACGCTGGTTTGGAAATGTCTGTTGACTAAATGACGACAGATTCGATTGACTGCATACATAAATTTTTTTTACATATTTGTACATAGTGTCATAATTGCTCAACAATGAAGCTGCGACGGTTTCCTCACGGTTTTGCAGCATTCGATTTTGACGGAATTAAGCTCGTTCTTAGACTATTATGTACAGATACATACCTGAAAATTTTTGCAGCTTAGATATTACTCACGGACAATAAACTGAATTTCTGAAAGTCATCTGTGCTGTATCTAAGCAGCAGAAAGGATGTCTGGAGAAGAAAAGCTACAGGGTATCCATGTTGTTTTGGATAATCCAATGCAGGATGTACTTTCATATCTGGAATCGTTTTGTATCAGTCTCATTCTTGGAAAATTGTTTCCTTCATCACTGCCTCAGTCCTGAACGTACTGACATGCGTTGCTATTGTGTTTCAGATGTCATTTACGATGCATGCTACATATCAGTAACCTGAATTCACGAAAATTTCTGCATGCAATAACCTTTCTTTTCCAAATGGAGAGGCACGTAACTAACTTTACTCGTTCATTCGTAATAAGTTTCATTCATTCTTTTGATCATAATTGTTTTTGCGTTCTATCGTCATTATGTGGTCTGATATATCTGCTTTCTTTCTTACAATATAGCGACTTTGGGACGCGCTAGTAGCTGCCATCGACGTGCGCTGAATGGCATAGATGTCATGGAACTTCAAGACATATTGCAGTATCACTGATTCGTCCGTTAACAAACTGACTGCTAAATAAAGGTCGGCTCAGAGTGTTAGCGCAAATTCAAACCCCTAAGAGAGTGTTGAGCTCAATTAACGTCATTTTTTTATGCCTGTCATTTCGAGAACCAATTCCAGATATACTGTTATCATTATTCAAAAATAATCATTTTCCATTGCTTTCTTGATATGCAATTCTTTAATATTGGATATTATTACTCATCGACTAAATCATCTAACATGGATTTTGAAGTGATTATCTTGAATAACAGTCAGTTAAGTAGTTAGTTTGTGTTAGAATGCAAATACGTTGTTGATAATGACTACTTTTCCGTGTAGCCTTTCCTGAAAATGATAAAATGCAAAGGCAAGAACTAGCTTTTTAGCGTACTCTTTATGCACTAACCCTTATTGTGGATGTGCCACTCAACGTGTTTTTTTTGGAACTCAACGTGTAAATTTTAGCGTCCACTGATTGTCTTTTTAGCAGTCACATAGCCAAGCCATTTTCTCTTAGCTGCATATGTGGTAGAAATCACTGGTGTCATCAAGTCTGTTATTGTGCCAAATTGACGTTATCAAGAAGTGATCCCAGAGCCACATAACAAATTTTTCGTTCCATCGCATTTGTGTGACCATTACTTTGCCATCATCGGCTTTTCTAGCAAACCAAGCCCTGTTGGCCATTCCCGATAGAAGGTTTGGGTGGAGTAATTCCTTCTTCGACCGCATGGGTAGGTCTTTCTTGGGTAACAGCCATTCGATGCGGTTAACGCGGGTCCATGCTACCTTTGTTATTTAATTAGACGTTTTCTTCGTCTAACGAGCTCGAACAGTACCCCTGACGAACGTGATAGAAGATTAAGCAGTTTAAGAAAACTTATTAACTTTTTTTATTTTCATAAAGATTTAGAACATTACAGGGGTGTTATGACAAGTCAACTTTCATTTTCATAGAAGGCGCATAGTCTCAAAACAGACATACTATTCACTTCATCATACTTGGCTAATAGTTATGGTTTGGCAGTAGAGATGAGGCGGCGATAACCAACCGATCAATTGGCTGATGACGACAAGTTGACGCCCGCACATATGTAAGTAAACATAAACATTTAGGGCAATCTAAAGCAGGCGACGAACGAATCGAAACATTTGAACAGCTGTAGCAGAAGCAGTGACAGGAGTTGACAGTATTTAATAAAACTTTGAACCTAGGCGTCGAACATCCTACCTAATTTTAACTATTACAAACATGTGCTATGACACTATTCAGATTCACCCTTATTTGTGGCGCTGCTATTAAGACGACAAGAAAAAGAACACAACAACGACAAAAGCCAATTCAAGCCATGCCAAATAGACAGATGTTCAACGACGATGGGTCATAAAAGCATGAGAACGACTGTGGGTGGCGGCAAGGTCGTCAACAGACGCTGGAACGGGCGGCAGCACAGAAGTTCGACGGCCTTTCTATCTACAGGTCAGACTCGCCAAACAGGTGGTGGCTGAACGTGACGTAATCATACGACCCGGGAACGGCGTCAGCGCCCTTGTACAGCGGCATGCGGTGAATGCAGTATTCAGCTTGATCAGGTGGCAGCTCTCGTCGCAGCTCATCAGCGGTAATGAACGACTAAAGAAAGAGCACGGCGTCAGATCAAAAGGCACGACAGCTCAATGATCTCACCTTTCCACCGGCAAGCACGCGGAACGATTCGATGACCTGCTCAGTGGTGTCCATGTCCAACGTTTCCCTGGTCATGAAGTCTAGGAAAGCATCAAAGTGCACGCGTCCCGTTCTATTTGGATCGACGATCGACATGATTCGCTGGAACTCCATGTCACCCTACGAAAAGCGTCTAACATGCACAGAACCGTTGATGGCCGACGCTGCTTACCTCTTGTCCCGGCCTGATGTTGTATCCGACGGACACCAAGCAAGACTTGAATTCCTCCGGGTCTAAACCTAACCGGGTCTTGTCGAAGTGATTGTACGACGAACGGAATTCGTTTAGCTGTTCATCTTTTATTCCTTTGCTATCTCTCGTTAGTATCTGAAAATACTCCCTCACTGTAAACCTCAAGTTTCCAACATCAACAACAGGTCTGCATCCGCAAACAGTCGACTCAGTGACATATCCTAATTTACGCTAGGTAACTGATGACTCACAGGGAGTCATTAAAAACTCTAAACATTATTGAGATAATATGTA